AATTACTTATTCATTTCAGATGTTAATTAGAGAGTGCTATTTTAATGAAATTTTAGACATAGTGTATGTTTATTATAATTAATAAACTTATATAAGAATAATATATATTACTGACTGTAGTTTAAAGCTTACTTGGCGCAATGTAACGACAAAATATATAAACCAAATTAATGCAATTTTTTTTATTTTTAGTTTTTTACTGATATACAGTAAATGCTTGACTACGATTAAATCCTCGATTTCTCTACTATCTAACAGTATAAAATACTTGTTGTTGTAAAAATATAGAATTTTTATTTAAATAATAAAAATTCTATTTTTTTAAATTTCTTTAAACAAAAAATTAATATTTTTTAAAAATTTGATTTGTAAATGCAAAAACTGAACTTATAAAATATTAACTCACTATAAATAATTTCAACTTTCGTTTATTGACATCAGATTTGTTAAATTTACGGAATTGTGCTATTTTTCAACTCTATTATTTTCCAGAGAATAAATAATAGACTCTAATAAGTCTTACTATTATATAGACTTACTAGTCCTCCACTGTGGAAAACAACAAACTGCTAATCGCTTTATTACTTTGTTTTCAAAAACTTCTTTCTCTGTCAGCTGAGAGTTAAATAGCTAACAAATTGTTTACTTCCACTCAGGGAAATGTGATGGTGTCATAAAACTTTATAAAATGATTAAAAAATACCAATGAAAGAAATTAAATTATTTCCGGTCAAATTTCAGTTTTTTGGGAGTTATTCGCTTTATAATAATGCGATTATAAGCGAAGAAGCGCGCGCTGTAGCTGCAGCTATTTTTAGTAATAGCGACTGGCGGGAAATTTAAAAATTGAAATCCGAGATCACGCGCACCATAGTGCCGATTCGGTACCAATAATTAAATAAAAATAATGAGACGCTTTAAGCAAAAACTGAATTGCGTATCGTAAAATTGAAGAAAAATTAGACAGGTAATAATTTTTTCAGATTTTTTACACAATTAGAATTTTTACACGAACTAATTAAAAATCGATTGGTACCTAATCGACACTAGGTGCGTGTCGACGGGTTTAACAATTGCTTCGGGAGAAAGGTCCTCTTCAAAATCAAATAAATGAAAAGCCGTTTACAATTGAGTATGGCACAACGACTAAGAAATTTATCGATTTTGAGTATTAAAATATATAATTTTGATTTGGACGATAATATAAAACAGTTTGCTGTAATAAAAGCCAGAAGAACGTGTTTGTAGAAAATGAACAAAGTGTTCTCTATATGTTTCCCCCTTTCTTTTAATTAGAATAAAAATTTTTCTTAAAGACTAGTAAAATAAAATAATTCGTAACTTGTTATTGTACTTTTGAATCTTTTAAATTTTCATAGAAGGGCGGTACGAAAATTTTGCACTCGGGCGATGAAAAGCACAGAACGGTCCTGGTGAATACATTCTTTCTACACATAAACAAGAAGACAATTCAGATGTTAGAACTAATTTAATAATACCTGGGAGAATACACGCGTACAAAAGGTTAAATTTACGTAATAAACACATTACAATAAAGATACAGGTAGAACAAAATATTGTTTTAACAGTAGCCTACAAGAAATGATTTTGTTGCTTCTTCATTACTAAGCCCATTAGTTGACGGCCGGATGATCGAACAGTAAAGACGAAACCTTTTCTGAGGAACACGAAATCGAATCCAAACGGGTCGAAAACTCTATGAATTTTTCGGGGTGGTCCGTCCAGATAGGTCGCACCTGTTCTTCACCACCCGACCGCCCTATTGCGGGCCTAGCCGAACTCATAATGGGTTCGATAAAAGTGGCCCTCTTAGTGCCCACAGGGCGGGAAGAGTTTTAAAAAACTCATAGGGAAGACGTTTAAAAGAAAACCCCTACCACTTGACGGATACAAAATGTATCCGTTAACTGTATATTCAAGTGGTAGGGAAACCATTATTTAATTAATTACATAAAATTAATATAAAAAATTTAAATAGTCACCATTTATAATAATTATTAATTGCGATTATTTATATTTAAGTTATATAAGAGAAGTCAATTATAGTAAATCATTGGCTGTTTTTTGGCTATTTATTTTCTGTTTTATGTGATGCGGCGTTACGTTTTAAAACGCAATTGGGCAATTCGTCTGGCGTCAATTTTTAAACGAAATTCGAAAAAAATGGAAGAAAACCGAAGTTTGACGGAAATAAAACAAATTATTCGTTCTCTCATCATTTCTAATTCTTTAAAAATAACTCTTCGGCAATTGAAGAAGGATTATAGGAATTTGAATGGAAAAAATATACCATTCGAAGATTTCGGATACAAGAATCTTGTCGATTTCCTGCAGGCAATGAGTGACGTGATCGTCATGGATTGGTCGCCTTCCCTCGATGACTTTCAACTGACGGCTGTTTCTGTCGAATCAACTAAGCACATAGAAAACATGATTAAGAAGCAAAAGAGAAAAAGAAGCGCCATCCCTCCTAGTAGATACGAATTTACAGATAATCGTTTAATTAGACCGAAAGTCACGAGATGTTGGAGAAGTCAAAGGTCAATTCGGAATATATTACGAAAGGAAATTTCCTGTTTTATCCCTTTAGAAATCAAAGATAAAATAAAGAATCTGTTAAGTTCTTTTGAAAATGGTTTACGTTTAACGAATTTCCTTGAAGTTTACGAAACATACTTTCAACAAGAATTTCCTCTAAATCGATTAGGATTTTATACGGTGAAGGATTGTTTGATGAGTATTCCACATATTGTTAAGTTAGAAGGTGAAGGTGTTAACGAAATTGTACGAATTAATTCGAATAGTTGCTTTACAAATAGAAAATGCAACAAATATACAAATGTTAAAGAAAATTTATATGATATTCCAAAAGATAAAGACGATAGAAATAATAAAAATATGGAAGTAGATGACGGCAAAAGGATATCAACGAAAGGTTTTTGTGCCGACGACGAGGGAAAATTTATATATAATTCGACATTTCTTCGAGAAAATAGATTTTCTAGTGCATTTCCAAGCCGTCCGATTGAAAAGAATAGTAATTTAAAAGATGATAAAACTGTTTCAAAAGTTTTAAACCAGAACAAAGACAAAAGGAATAGCAAAGTCTTACAAAACAATTTGGAAAACAATAATTGTGAAGCATCAAACGAGTTCAATTCTAATAATTCTTCTGGTTCACATCTTAAGAGTTTACTTCAAAACCAAGTTCTTCAATTGCTGACTTTTTTAAAAAAAGTTTCTGTGAAAAATTTTGAAGAAATGTTTAAAATCAAGTATAAAATGGAGCTTCCGTGGGATGCTTTAGGTTACGACAATATTGAATCCTGTTTATTTGATTTAACAGATGTTGAATTTTCATTCGAAGACTGCACTCTTTTTATTTCTCTCTATTTAGAAGAATGTAATCTTTACTCAAAAGTTAATTTACTTTATATCAGAAATTTAAAAATGGCAATGATTAATACCATTCCATCTGATTCAGTAATGCCAGGTGAAATGTATACTATGCAAAAACTTCCACAGGTTTTAACACATTACATACAGGTTTATGTATCGGGTATTGAAGATCCTGATAAATTTTGGATTCAATTAATAGGAAAAGAAACGACCGATGCTTTAGATACACTCACAAAAAATCTTCAAATGGTATATGAAAGCGAAGAAAGTGAAAAATATCAGATTCCAGATCATTTTCTTGAAGTAAACAACGTATGCGCTGCTCTGTGGCCTTACAATAATCGTTGGCATCGAGGGATCATAATGAAAATTCTTTCTAAAAATTATATTGAGATTTTCTATGCGGATTATGGAACTAAACATACCGTACCAATACAATTTCTTAGAATTTTAAAGAAAGAATTCTTTACTTTACCATCTCAGGCAATTGAGACGAGATTATCAAATGTGCAACCAATTAATAAAATTGAATGGTGTGAAAGATCAAAATTGAGATTTATGCAACTGTGTCTTGATAAATTATCACAAGCTTTGGTAACAAATACTAGTTTCAAGAATAGAATATCTGTTTATTTACGAGTCGTTTCAGATGATGATGACATTCATATAAATGAAGTTATGGTTAATGAAAATTTCGCTGCACAGGTCTGTGATCCAATGGACGTAAACTTTACATCTGGTTTATGTAAGAGACAGCTTTGCACAATTTTGGATAATGAAAATAAGAAACATTCTGAAGACATATTTCAAGAAGAAGAAGGATTTTATCGTCATTTGTGTGAAGCAGCCGGAAATGATAACTTTAGAATTATGAAGATTTTGCTGATAGAAAACTATAAAATTCACCTAATTGAAGTTCACAATGAACTTTATGTAACCGGTGGAGACATCGCTTCCTTGTTTCATGAATCGGAAGATTTAGAAAAAATGCTTTCTAAAAAACAAACATTTATACCTCATATTGTTCTAGAAAAATATGGCTACGAGAGATTGTTTATTGAATTAAACAAACACAAAGTGAAAGGAATTCAAGAAACATCCACTCGTCTCGTATTATATTCTTTTGAAAATGTCAGTATGATCTTGATTTGTCTGGAACACCCTATTGAACAATTAAAGTATAACGTTCGAATGGAAATAAAACTATATTATGAAAATATTAATTCAAGATTCGACTTCGAGCTTCTCATTGTTTTTTATAGTATAAAAAGACAAGAACTTATCCAAAAATTCCTAGAAGGTAAAATAATTGCCGATGATGTCGATGAAATGGAACGTGTTCGTTCTATACTTGAGTCACTCATATTTAAGAAATATGTGAAACATTGGATAAAATAAAACGAATTCGAAATTATACAATGTATGAATTCAAATTGGAATATGATTTTCAGTGATGTAAACAATACTCATATCCAAGAAAAATTTATTTTGCTTTGTTTCTAATAATTCTTTAGAATTTAATGTGATTTGTTCAAAATTTTTTTATTTGTGTAAATAAGATACTTTAGCATGGAATTTACCAAAGTAATATATTTATAAAGATACTGTACATATTTAATTAAAATTAATTGGATATCAAGTTAAGTGAAAGTTTAATTCAGACATTTATCTGAAAATAATACTTCAAATTTTCTTTTTCTGGTGATAAGTTTGAATAAGGAGATAAATTTTGTTTCCAAGTTAGTTACAAAATCTTCATTGAAAATTATTGAATTTTCATCATATTGTTTAAAATACAGCAAATAATTATAATTGTCTAAACTTAAATTTTTCTCTTAAATTACTGCAGTTTACAGTAGAATGTTTATTAGGCATTTTTTAAATAAAATGTCTCAAATATATTGAAATGCATCTTTTATATTAAATCACTTCTTTAAGGTGCAGCCTAACGCTCTGGGGATCCGGGATCGAAAAATTCACGAATTTTTCTAGGAATATGTCGGGTCCCGTTTCTTATCACCCGGCCGCCCCATCACGATCTTGGCTAAACCCATAATGGGCTTGCTAAAATGAATCTCTAAAATCTCCACAGGCAAAAAAAAGTTGGTACTAAAAACTATTGATAGGCCGGATGACCGAGTGCTCTGGGGGATCCGAGTTCGAATCCAAACGGGTTGGAAAATCTCCAGGAATTTTTCTGGGATTGTCCGTCCGGATATGTCGGACCCCGCCCTTCATCACCCAGTTGGTCTGGGTGACGAGGGACGGGACCCGTCCTTGTGGGCATGGTCAAGCCCATAATGGTTTGATAAGAGGTCCTCTTAATGCCCACAGGGTGGAAAGAGTTTAAAAAAAGTATATATATATAAAACTATTGATTGCGATCTACATATATTATCGTAATTTGCAATATTATCAATTTTTAAAGTTATTTTCAATAAATTTGAGTTCAATTATCGACAAATAAATTTATAAATATTTATTACCGCATTTGTCGCTGCAATCGAGTTATTGATTATATGAAGTGAAAGAGAGGTTACTTATTTTAAAATTCATAAACATCTCTATTATCTCGACGTGGATCATGGTAAATATATAGAGTTTGTAATCCATAAAACTATACCTCTGTAAGTTAATGATAAAGTATTATTAAAATACATTATAAACATAGTTTTGTTTGTAATTAGATATCGTAATAACAGATAAGACACATTTTCTAGTGATAAGTACACGTTCTTTTGTTAGATTTTTATGTATATTTCACAAATTTATAACAACATTTTGTAAATTTCAATACAAATAACACGCAATTGAATTAATTTTAATTCGAATTCGAATTTATCACTTGACGTGCATCTCCTTCATCAATTGCTCATTATAATAAGTTGTGTCATTAATCATATTTAAATAATTTGAAATATAAAATTTGACGAATAAAAATTATAAACAAATTGTGAGTCAGCCACTTACATAAGGAAAATAATATAAAATATTTTTCTCAAAATAACAAGTTTGATTATTTAATTTCTTGGATGTGGTGAAATTGAATGGTGTTTATTTATTCTATCCAAATGAGCAATGTTTCTTACTATTTAACTAAAAGTTATGTTATGATTCCTTGTTTAACATACACTTTATAACCTCTGTGTGCATACCTGTATATATAGAACTCTGATTATTTGAACTGATTTGTTCTGTAGGTAATTCAGAGAATCGAAAAGTCGGATAAGTGGATTAACGTGTAAAGATTGAAGTTATGGGATAATGGTGTAGTATTGTACGCATACTGCATTTATTTATTTGCAAATGTGCTAGTAGCATCGCACTGATTGTTTGAACCTTATGGCAAATAGGAATGTACAGAAAGTGTCGCGTTGGTTAGAAAATGTTCCTGTACCGTATTTTTCGGCAGTATGTTTTCCAAATTCTGCTTTCTTTGATGCATCGATGTTCTCTTTTTCTGTCGTGGTAAGAATAACTTGTTTTAGTTTCTGTGAGCTTTCAGACACAATTGGAGTTGCTTTTGTGGCAAATATAAGAGAATTATGTGATGTAAGAGCATTGCAGTGTGACATCAATGGGGGAGAGAAAGGAAGAGAAGTGGTGGTTTAGATAATTGGACATTTGGTTAATTAGCGTTCTACTGTATGTTGTTTTATGACTGATTTTCCAATTGTCTGCACTTCTTTAGCAGTGTTATTTTCACATTGTATAATACCTGTTGCGCTGTGTTTATTTAATATAATTTATTATTTTTTTTATTACTGTAGTAAAATAATAATTTAAAAAATAAATTATGTTATTATTATTACTATTAGTTGTCACCACATCCTCAGACACTTAGACAATAACATTAGAATAGATTTCCAATGAGTCCCAGGTCGTGTGGGGATTCTCAGCAACGAGACTGCTGACCGTCTTGCCAAACAAGCTGCAAAGTCTTTTAGTACTTTCAGTTACATTCCTACCTCGTACATCATCAATCATGTCAAGAAGCAAATCTTCATTCTCTGGCAACATAGCTGGGACCGTGACACAACTGGTAGGCTCACCTACACTTTCATCCCCAAGGTTGACACTACTGCAATTCTTTGCCACTTTTACCCTAGTAACACACTCACTCAGTTACTTACAGGGCACGGCAACTTTAAGTAATACTTTTGTATTTTAAGTAAAACTTTAAGTAATACTTGCATACATTTAACCTTGGGGACAATCCAAAATGCAATTGTGGTATTCAGGAGGACAAAACACCACTTCACTTAGTTTTTTGCTGCAATAGGTACAATCACATTAGGGATAATTTAACGAGAGCTGCTATTCTTAAAGGATACAACTGGCCTTTCAACCTGCACCAACTCATTCATATGCATACAATGTTCCATCATCTACTCTCATTCATATCTCTTAGTGAGGCTCTTGAGAGCATTCACTTCAGGGGCACGGATGGCAATTAGCTTTCCCTTGCTTTGTTTCAACCTGTCGGTATATATCTGCCTTTCAACTTTGTGTTTTAATTCTTATTTTCCATCTTTTTCAGTTTAAATTCAGTTAGTTTAAGTTAGTCCTAGTTGTAAGTTAGATTAGGGTTTGTTAGCTTTAGTCGTCTGGTTAGATTCATTTTAGGTTATGGTAGGTTAGTTATAAGTTAATGTTAAAAAAAATATTGGGGTCTTGTTGTTGGTCTTTTGATGGCCTGTTTGTCTTGTCTAGTTTGTTGTTGTGTTCTTTTGTTTTCGCACTGTCTGTCTAGCTATTAAGTAGTATTAAGATTCACACTCACTTGGCATTCAGTTTTATTAGCATTAAGTAGATATAAAGTGTTCCTGCTAACAGCTACTTGGTAATAACTTCTACACTTAGCTATTTGTGACGGCACTCAGTCATTAGTGTTTGCTACACTCAGGTTTTCTTTTAGACCCTTTGGGACTACAGCTTTGCAGCCTAAAAACTGCATGCTAACATCAAACATAGAGGGTTTTGTAGCCATATATATGCAATTCAGAGGGATCCTACCTTTCTCTACTGTCTATCTCCTCTTCGTCCTTCTTCTCCCCCTTTCCCTTACCGGCTTTTTGTGCTGGCTAAACACCTCGTGTACGGCTGAAGTCTTTCTTGTATGTAATATTAGTAGTTTTAACCATTTTGACTTCTTATGAGAGATTTCATAATCTGTTTTCTTTAGTGTAAATGTGACCATTTTTAACTTGATATATTATATTATATTGACATTTTAAATTGATATATTATATTCTTGTTTTTGTGATAGTTTACACAATGATCAAAACAAGATTTGATTTCATAAATAACATATTCTAAATTACAACACACCACATCAGGAAATACTTAATGACGGTTATTGGTTCTGTATGCATCGTTAATGTATTCTATCTATTTCTCACACAAGTTTAAATATTCCAAACACAAATAGTTTAAACATATAAACTTAAAATATACAATACAAAAATGTAAAATTAAATAAATAAATTAAATAAAACAAAGATAGTAACCTAAATAAACAAATAATAATACAGTCAATCCCTTATAACACGGTAGATACGTTCCGGTTTTTATGAAACCATTTTCTACGAGTTCAGCCAATCAACCCGGCACATATGCAGTTTACGGACTACAGCTATTTGAAAGGTTTCTTCCATAAAATTAATTGATTCTAGACTAATTCGACTCAACATTTCCAAAATACATATAATTTTTTGGGAATAATCCATATAAACTATGCTATAAACAAAAAATTGTAGGATTACTTACCGAGAGTGCACCGTTCGACTACGCCATTGCTTAAGCTTGTTTTCGTCATGGAGCTTGTCATCAAATAGCACTCGTGTGCTTCCTGATAAATTAATTTTTTTTGCAAAAAATTCGCTGAACTTTAGAGACATCATTAATATAAATATAATTTTTATGGACGTTAAATAATAAATGGTTTTTAGTAGGTCCGCTGCTCGTTTAAACTCAACGGTTTGTATTGGCCTAGATTCGACCAATCCTATTGCAACATGAGTCGGTGATGACGTTTTACCGAATTATACGAGTTTTTTTAGCATGTTTGTACAAATACTGTCGCAATTTTTTCGCCATGATATAGGAATTCGAACTATAGGAACCTGTGTTATAGTGTACTAACATAATAAAGTTAATATTAACTTATACTAAAATGATACAAATGGATTTTAATGATATTTTTACATTAAATGCTTTATTTAATGTAAAAATATCATTAAAATCCATTGATCATTTTGATAGAATCATTATTTATCATAATATTAATGAGTCCTTTAATATTATAAGTCACATTAATTTATTTCAGGTAATAATACAAAAATTTTAGTTGTTCTATTTTATCATTTTTTGTAAATATAACTAATAAACTAAGTCTATTTTACTACTATTTACTATTTACTTTTACTATTATAGTACTATTTTTTGTAAATATAACTAATAAACTAAGTCTAAAATGGGCATATATTGATAACAGTCATGTGCAGGAACATTGGGTTCTAATTAATTTAAAATTTGCTATATAGTAGACTCTGCTTATTGTAATCATAGATATTGTTATCAGTTTGCTAATGTTATAGTTAGCATGTTCCAAAAGATGC